CTGCTGCCTTCACATATATACACTTTTCACTTCTATGAATGTTAAGAACATTTTGTCTGTGTTGGGTAGGTCAAATGCTCAAAGTTGAAAACATTTATCATTCAGTTGGTATGACTTTATTGGAGACAGGAGTCATATATAAACAAAGATTCAGGACAGTGACTTTTCCTGAGGGATTCAGGGAGTGAGGGAGTACACTAACCACAGGCACATTTTCTTGCTATTCATCTGCTTATTACTGTATCATCCAGGAGAGTACATTTTAGCATATTTTGCTTAATGGCTGAATATGTTACATGCCTTTTTAAGACATAAGTCCAGTCTCTCTGCACATATGACCCTTATGACCCCTCATATAAACTTAAGTTCTATCCACTGAGGTGTAATTTTTTTCTTCATGTGATTTGTTCCAAATATTAATTCTTCTAACATAATCTCATAAATTTAATTGAAACTTGTAAGTGGATAATACTGTCCATAAAATGGAAATTAATCATTTTTAAAGCCAGATTCCAGCGTTACATCTAGCAATATTTTATCCAGAAATATTTGAACAATAAAATGAAATGGAGAAATAATGCCTTAAGTTTTAGCTTTTATACTTTCCAGATTCTGTACTGCTATGGTATATAACTCTGAACTTCATATAAAGGGTTAGCAAGTTCTCTTCACAGTTTAGTCAGATAAAACAATCATTTTCCAGCCTGAGAACCAAGGGCACCATTGCAGTTCAGGCCCAAAAAGTGTAAACAACAAGGAATTGAGGAGAGCAGTCTGGGAGGATGGGAATTCATAACCTGAAGCTGTAATTGGACAATTAACCCCAATATGTAAATGGACCAAAACTTATGAGAGTGTAAAAACTCGTGACTCTCAGTCCATCTTGGGTAGAGCCATGGCCAGGCTCTTATACTGCCCAAGGTGTATCCTTTGAAGGCCTTTCTAATAAAAACCTACTTTATTCCTTTAACACTGTCTAGCCTCTGTTCTAGATAGCCTCACAAGGCATCAGAAAGAATTGTTCAGTGAGCAATTTAGATTAATTACTTCAAAACAAAGGGATGATATTGCTACATGAGGACAATTCTATGCTGAGAACGGCTCAGCTAAAATCCCTTTTTCTGTGGTCACTGTTTTTGCTGGGGAAGGGAAGGACCATCAAATACTCAAATAGTTCACCTGAGAAAGGAGCAGCAACTACTGTTCCAGACTGAGAACACATTCCTTGTTTCCTCTAGACACAAACTAATTTCAAGTAAAAGTAATCCTTTCAAAAAATGAAACTATTATCTCTGGCTCATTAAGACAAATTTCAGTATTTTTGTCCATTTTCAGAGATGGTTTGATAGAGATAAAGTATTGTTTTCAATTACTGTTGACACAGTTCTTGAACTTGGCTTACTAAAGCATAAAAGCATACATGAAATGTCTGTGTTCAATATCACTTATTCCCAAATGTCTAACTTAGAAATCACTGTTTCATCAATACAAAAGTGGAGACGAAATCCATTAGGCTTACAATCAATGACTGCAGATCATCTTCAAATAAAGTCTTTACTAAAGAGCTCATTTCAAACTGAGCAAATATTAAGTCCTGAAGTTATATAATCAGCAAACATCTATTCACCAGAAAGTACATCAGCCAGAACTTGGCATATCATAACACAGCTTTTATTTACAAGGTGGTGTTTGCTCATGGGGAATATCAGTCCTGGCAGACAAAAAAGAAGATGAAACTTTAACATTTATCTCCCTTTCATATGCTAGTCATAATAAAAATGAATGTGAAAATGTTTTCTAGAGTTAGAACAATATTTTGATTATGAAGGTTCAGTGAGAGGCTGTTGCATGCTAGTACAGTGCAAAATTCTGTATTTGTTGTATTTTCACTGATGACAAAGAGAAACATTAAGAATTCTGTCTAACTTTGGTAATTATGACTTGCTTAGACTGTGTAAATTTAACAAGAACATGGAGATTCCCAAATAAAAGGCAAAGTATAGCATTTTCTTTCCAAAGCATGGCTTTGCTCTATTGCCTTGCACACAAAATTTTCCAGGATAAACTAATAGCCAACTGTCATGTTAAGCCCCCTTGACACCAAGTGTCAGTTATCAAAAAAAAAAAAAAAAAAAAATCCTATATCTTGTCATTAATCTGCACTGGGTTTTATCCACAGATCTCAAAACAAGTCAATGAGCTGCCAACCCTGACAGCTGCAAATGTCTCCTGCATGAACATGTACTGTGGGCTAGATTCCTATCTCAGTTACAGCAGTAAAAATGAAAGGTCCTTTTGTGAGCAACATCAACATGAAAGAAGTACATCTATGGTAAAATTACAGGTAGAATCGGCAAGAATATGGGAAAGAAAATTAAACAGTAATTTTGTATGCATAAATATTACAAATTTAACTCATAATATGATAACCATCCAGTTGAATAAATGAGGAAACTATTCCAAGCAACAAAAAAAAAACCCACCTCTCCATTTTTGAAAATTAATTATACTGGTTCTGTATCAGAAAGACATAGTAAGACATCTGATATTTGATTTTATGCTTACATGGGGTAAATACTATTTTGAATCTAAAGAACTGCCAAACTCTTTTAAGATACTACTTTTCACTACCAACAGGAGATCAAAATCCTTGCATTAGATCTTCTTTCTCTGTTCCTGAACTCTAAGGATTCAATGCAGTTGAATACTCCCCCTTATGGGCTGCTACAACATGACATTATAGTGCTCTGTATTTCTCTGAACTAAATGCTACCACCTCCTACATGCATTGTATGTACACCAACAGAGCTAAGTCCAGAGTATTACAATCCATAGAAACTGATTCATTTCACTAAGTCTGTGATAGCAGATTTTTGCAACTGCAAATTGTCATTCTTTGTTCTGCTTTGTTTTGTTCATCATTACTAAATTTCAGAATAAATATATAGGAAAAGAATTGATTCAGTCAGATCTGCTGACTAGTGTTTTGTTCTTATTGGAATTTACCCTGGACAATAAATACATCTAAGCATTTTTCTTAGAAGATTTGTCACTGCAATGACTTATTTGAAATCATATTTGTTAATCCTGTAAGAATCAAACGTAGAACAGTGAAATAAAATCTAATTAAAATAGTATTCACTATATTTTCCTGAAGAAGTGGAAAAAACTGTACAGTATCTATATGTGACCCACAAGCACCTATTTTCTGTGTATATTTGGTGAGAAAGCTTTCACCTCCAAGTTCACTACTCGTTCTTCAAATCAAGCAGTCTATTTCAAAATGGACTTGCAACTTCATTGTGCTAATCTTTTAGAAGAAAGCTTTACTAGTTAGACCTTGTATAAAATCGGATGCCCTAGATTATAATTCATTCAACTTAAATACCCTAAAATTCATAAAGTCTTTCCTGCTTTCTCTTTTCACCCTATCACTGACTGAAAACACACAGGGTCTCTCACCTGCTATAACTGACTGTAACAGCTTATTCCTCAGGGCACTTTGTGTTAGCACACATTCCCTCTTCTACCACATCCTCATACGCTTGAGAAGAGGAAAGTGTGTTGATATTTTGAATCTGAAATGTTATTCAAACAGCAAAATGCATAATTACCATTGATCCTCTTCACTTCTTTTTAACACCAATTCATCCTCTCAAAATGTGCTGAAAAACATTAATTAACAGTGATATAATTTCACCTCCTTTGTGCTGTGTCAGTCCAGCAAAGTGATCTGTTCTCTTGCAAAGTCTTCAGAATTCAGCTGGCAACTTCAAAGAACAGCAAGCACTAACTTCCCCCAACAGATCCTGTAACATTAAACAAAGCACATTAAGGATTAAGATCCTTTTTGGAAATAAACAGAGTTTCATTTGATTCAAGTCCTTCTCCCTGAACTTTAACTGAGTGGTTCTGGGGTCATTCTAATAAAACAGTTCACTAAAAGGCATCCTTTCTGAAAGTGCTTTTATCTTTGCTTATTCCATTCATAAAAATGAATGGGTTTATCTGCAATGGATTTGCAATTTAGATATCTAAACAAAATAATTAGATTAACAGTTTTCTGCAGCATATTCTGTGGGAGTTAATGTAAAAAATTTGTTTAGAACATTTAACACTCAAAGTGTGTAAACAATATAAAGGATAAAATCAACAATGGAACTTGGCAAAAACTTCTTAAAATCCCTTCAAAAAAAAATTAAGCTTCAATACTGAAACTCCATATAACATTTGACAAATACTTCCCAGTACTATTTTCATCTCCTCTGTGAACAACAGGGATGGTGTCATCTCCATTCAAGAAGTTTATTTGATTTTGCTTTTCAAGTTTCCAAATAATGTTAAATTCAAAAACCAAAATTCCTCCATTAGGCAAAATTTTTATAACTAAGTCTTAAAGGAAGATAAATAACCTTCTGAAACAAGGATGGTTATTCAGCATTTCTCCTAACTTCTACTATTATGAAGCTATCAAATAGCACTGAAATTGTATATGAAATGCTAAATTTCTACTTTGCTCTTTCTGGTACTGATTGAATTTGAACAGACATTTGTAAGATTGTATTTGTAAGGCAGATGTTCTAGCATTCTTCTATATGCAGTTGCACGATTTAGTTTTGAGGTTTTTAAAATGGAGTTCACAGTGGGAACTAATTGTAAATGAATTTTCTTACTAGTTAGAGGTAGTACAGATAAGGATATTTTTCTTAGAGAATTAAACACCATGAATATGAATGCTTTGTTTTTCAGACAGGGTGAGCAGACACAGAAAGCTGCTTTTCCACAAAAGAATCACCTTGGTTTGAGGTGCTTCTAATCTTTCAATAATGAGGGAAACACCCCACTCACACAGGCAGTTTGTAATCTAAAAGCAGAAAAATTGACAGAAGCTCATGGAAAAAAAATAGGAGCCAGGAAGGTAATCCTTATGAATTAAAATACTGGCTCCCATCAAACAGAAGAGTCTGGTCTTTTTTTCAGTCAGATTTGTATCAGTCGCAGGGTGAAAGGCAGACTTTCAGAGACACAGCCAAAGCTGGCCACCATATTCCTCCCAGGATGTTCCTCACCTTCTTAAGAGATTCTTTAACCACACTTGTGCAGGAGAGGATTTTCAGCTTATTTAGCTTGACAAGCAAGTATCTGGGCCCTCAGGTTTCCTGGGATATAGATAAAAAATCTGAAGGAGACTGATACAAGAAAACCCTCACAAAAAAAAAATATTGCATTCTTTCTGGCCTTTCTCTCCTGCTGTTCTGCTCTTACAGAAAGTCTTGACTCACAGGGGTTTGTATGATGTGACAAACAGCAAGAGTTAAGAGAGCTGAGTGCAATTAATCTGTTATGAGAACAAAAAGGAAAATTAAAATAATTATTTATAGTATCATGAAGTTCCTGAGTCCATCCAGAGCAGAACCTCAGTTCTTAAGACACTTAATTTCAATACCACAATTAAAGCTTCCTTTTGGATCTGCAATTATTTATGAAGTCTTGACAGATAAAGTTATGGGGGAAAGAGGTCAGCAAGATCATCAGGGAAAAAAAAATAAATTATCCAATGAGTGAGTGACTGTGAGTCTTTCCTGGTGCAACCTGAAATTATTTGATGGTTACTGTCCCTCACATGTTATTGAGCTTACTTTAACATCAGAAACAAACACATGACTGAAGCTGATGTAAGCAACTTGCAAACCATCAGTAGAAATCCAAAAGCTGGATGTGCTGGTGGAGCAACACTGATGGTCAGTGATGGACACTGCATCAGAGTGCCTGCAGCGCACACTCTGACAGAATATTAACTCTAAACAATAAAAGGATTTCTGTGCCTGAAATTCCAACTAAAGGTCATCCACCCAAGTCAACAGGAAAAAGTGGAGATGAATACAGATAAAAGTAATTTTACTAGGACATTAAATAACTCCTAATCTCTTATAAGCTATGGGCCATTCCAACTCATTCTGCTGATACAGGTGTATCAGGGCCAGTGAATGTTCCCATGGCTTGTGCACACGTATGTGCCAATCACATACACAGCACAGCGTATGAAGCATTATGTATGCTGTATGTGCATACAGCACAGCTAACCAAGAGGAGAAAGTTGCCAATAAATTCAATTGTCTGCTGTAGTCTGCCAACAACAGAGAGATGCAAAATTGCAAGCAGAAATAATAGATCATGCTCTGGACAGTGGAAAGAGGTGACAAATGAGGCATGGGATGTTATGCAGAACATATACATTCCAGAGGATGAAAGTCATCACTGCATCATCTGATTTCTAACTTCTGGCCTCATTGGATAAGCATATCATAGTCAAATCTCATTGCTTTGAAGGTCACTGGTAAGGTTTTTATCAGCCTGACATTTGTTGTCAACTTTTTTTTTTAAGTTCTCATTTCACTTTAATAACAAAGGAATGAGAACATGAAGGTTATGCGTAAAAAAACTCCCACTGATTTTTCATAAAATACTTTAATCTAAACTGACTTCAATTTATCAGGAATGTAGGTAACATTACCAAGTATTTATTCACATCATACCTCCAATCAGCTTTTGAAAACAGCAATGGAATTCTAAGGCAGGACTGCTTTTGAGATGTTCAAAAACCTAAAAGAAGCAGAAGAAAAACACTATACTAGAGTGCAAATTTTTGAGTTAATTTATTCTCTTTCTCACTTCCTATGGTTTATGGTTCACTTCTCTAGAAGTGAAGTTAATGTTCACCAGTTCTAGAGAAAATCATATTTGTAGAGAAGTGAAGCATTCATCACTGAGGGAAAACAGGAAGCTTCTATTTCTATTACTGCTCAGTTTATTGTCTTGCAAATGCAAGTTTGCCCAATGCAGTGCAAGGGAAAGCAAAAGTAAGGGGAAATCTGTTTAAAACCATAATTAAAATACTTACTATCCACCCAAATAGTAGCTTATCCTCCTTTATATTATCTGATAAAATAGCAGTGTTAAATATATTGACATTAGGTAAATAACTTATACTTTACACTGAAGTGGGAATTTTACAATAAAAATTCTTCTTGCAAATGCAGTTTAGCCAGTGTGTTTATTCCCCACATTGCTTCAAAGTACATTCATCATTTGAGATATATCATTCCCATGACAATGGGATCACAAGGAATTATGGTATAACAATGGTAGACCAAATAGACAGAATGTCAGCAGTGTCAAACTGGCAAATATATCATTTAGCCAGAGATCTAAAGAGAAAATCTGAAGGTCAGAAATGCAATATTTATAATGCTGTCAGCAGATGGGTGCATACCAAACACCTCATTACCAGACCCCTAAAAAGCTTATCAGAGCTTACAACACACAAGAGAAGTGTTACTGGAGTCTCTTCCATAAGTTTCCAATGTGAATGAATACTGAGGCAAACATTTCCAAGTACCTTCCCCAGGAACAGCAAAAAATCTTGAAATACACTTCAATAGCACCAACATAAGCAGCAGTCAACTACAACCCTCATACCCACTAATTCCACCTGGTACAACAAAATCCCCCCAGCATTTTTCCAATAAGCAACACATTTCCTTGGAAAGAAACCAACATTATTAGGATGGCTGCTGGCTTTAGAAAAGAGGAGAGAATAAACAGAAACAACTTTGTATTGTTACTGATTCATTCAAGGCACTTTGGCACTGTGCAAAGAAAACTCATGTTTTTTCCTGAGTATCTCTGTGACAATGGAAGTGGAAATGCTAAAGGTATGGGAGGAAGGTTGACAAAAGCAAGTTCACAAGAAAAATGAAAAGAGAATTGACATAAGCATACCAAACTCTGGCTTTATTCAGCATATAACAATAGAAGACTGCTCCACATGTGGTGTGGGAGACAATCCATCACTGACTGTTTTTTCCATTCATACCCCTCCTGTAATTATGAGAGCAGTTTACTTAGATGTAATTTCATTTAATACCATGGTGATGGATGTTCAACAACATTACCATTACCTAAATGATAAACAAAACAAAGCTAATAAGAAGGATCTAGAATAAAAGGTTATGAAATGACAGACTTTAAGTTTTGTGAGTCAAATGCAAAAAATTCAAAAGCAGTTTGTCATTTTCTTCTTGATAGCTTTTTCATTTACAGTTTATTAAAGTAAACACAGTATCTCCTGGAATATCTTTTTGATATCTCCCCAAATACAGTCAGATTTTTTTTTTTAAATTATATGTCTCAGTTTTCATGGTCCTTCTTACTGAGAATTTATCATATTCTCTGTTGACTGTCAAATAAACTCTACCCATTAAATTTTATCTATGTCAGCAGGCTAAAGACATAAGAAATGTAAAAACCCTATTTATGGGCTTTTACAAAAGCCCAAAAACCTTGAGAAACATTCTCTATTTATATAGCTTGTTTCCTCTCTCCTTTTCTTTACTTTTTGTACCCTTCCACTTCTAAAACCCTCTCCCTTTGCCAATCTCTTCAATTTCTCTAACTTCCATTTCTCAATCTATCTTCAAGCTCTCCTCCTCTTTGGAATTCCTCCTTTTGTCTGCCTTTATTTAACAGGCTTAGAACTTCATTTTCACAACTTAATTTTCAGGAATCTGCTGACTGGAAGTGGAGAGGAGGTTTGCTTATTTTTGGTCCAAACAATATCTGGATGCTGGCCAGCTGACATAGACGCTCCACCCTGTCCCTCTTGAATAGTGAATAGCTTGCTTCCCTGAACCCTTTGGTCCTCCCAAAACAATCACTTCTTGCTCCTTTCCTTCCTTCCTTCCACATGCTCTCTTTGTGACAATAAGTAATAAATACCTTGCCCAAACAACTTTATATTGCAGATTCTGTTCTCAGACTTTCCCCCATCTCCATAACATTTAGCCAGTTTCCCTCAGACCTCCTTCTGTCCTACAGAAAGGTCCTGGATTTTGCAGTGCCCTGTTCCCCCCATCCTGCTATTTATCCTTTCCAGTGGTATCTCAGTTGTCCTAAATAAGTAGGAGAACTGAAGTTCTGACCTTTGAGAATTCAGCTGGTACAAGTTTTCAAAGGAAGCCTGCATGTCAGAATCACAGACACACTATAACATACCATGTAGTACCAAAACATACCATGGCACTGTGTTATATAGTATATATGCACCAACAGGGTCAACTTTGCTGAAATCTTCCACTGTAAAACACCATGCAGTGATGCCCACTGAGAGCTGAGGTATTACTTTGACATTTTTCCATTCATTTCATAGCAGGAGTCATGGGCATGGTAAAATACTTTCTACATATATCAATGTTCAAGTCTCAAAAAGATCAATAGTGGTTGAACAAGAGTTCATTATACTAACAAAATCCATCAGAGAATATTAAAAAAAAAATTAAAACAAGCATCAGCCATAGCATTTCAAATTTAAGTTGCCTAGGAGTTTTATTTAAATAAGGCAAGACACTGAAATAATACTGAATTTATGTTTTTAAATTTACTCACTAGGTTTTAGTGCATAAAAACATTGCCAGATGGAAAGCTGTTCATACACATTTTTCCATATTTTATCCAAGAGTCAACACAGATGAATTTCAAAAGAGAGGTTTTATAAAGAAACTGTATAAAGTCTAAGAGCAAACTATACAAGGCAGCACATGAATGTAGAGGAATAGACAGCAAATTTTACCAATGTGTTCAAAAGAATAATAATCAAAAAATGTCTCAGTTAAACAGCAAAAAATACTGAGTACTCACAAAGAATATCACAACCAAACACTACAGCATCAATTCCAGCCTTCAAAAAAATCAAAGAGAATTTCTAATGAACAATGTCACTTTTGTAGCAGGTTGTGGTTTTATTACTGTTATATTTTATTATACTAGTTAAAAACATGAATTTTTGAAAATATAAAAAAAACTGGGTGCAAAATCCAGGCTACAAACAAATGTCTATGAGAAAAAGTACATTTTTAATGCGTGGTTCGTTGTGGCAAAGCCCTCTAGACTAACAGCTGAATCTATTACTAGATCCAAAGAAAAGGTCAAACAATGAAAAGCCATATCAAAAGATTTCACAAGGTTGAGTGATAACACAAAGACCAATTGTCCTTGATACAATGGGGTTATACCATGTATCCAGCCTCTCTGACAAAACATGCAAACAAAATCCCATAGCATTCACCAATAATTAAAATTCAGTTGAAACTCCATGCCCCAGAAATTGATTAAAGAATTACTGAAATAAAGAAAAAGGGTATATTTATGCAGTCAAATCATTGTATAGCCTTGGTGTAGCAATGGCACTAACCATTCTCAGCATATTGGTGATCTAAGGCTTCTTTTCATAATTTTTCCATTTGAGGCTTCTTTGGCTCTCAGTCTTTTGTGATCCCAAGAAAGGCCACACACCAAAACTAGAACAACAGACATGGAAAAAACCCAGATGCCTATTTCATAACATGAAGATTTTCGTAATTTTTGGACAAACTCTGATTCTCCCTGCAACAGAGAATACTCTCACGGAAACAAGGATGGAGGAAAACACTGTGACAGCAAACAAGGAGATTGGCAAAGATCCATGAAGTTCTTAGGCAGGTGTAGCTCTCTTTGGCCTCTTAAAAACTCTTTAACTGACTTATCAAAATCATAAAAAACAATCTACTTTAGTCAAAAAGGAAACTCAAGACTCTGGAACTAGGTTTTCATACCTCATATATCTACAGGGCAAATATCTCCCCTTGAACATTGTGGGGGAAGAAGGAGAGCAGACTAGAGAACAGTCAGCCCAACTTCAAATCTCACAAATATACAGTGCAAGTGTTGGGCTTCAATATACCTATAAATTGTTTCTTGACTTTTCAGCAACAAACTGTGTCAAACCAGTCTCATTTCCTTCCTCATTATGATACCTACCTTGATAAGGGGCACAAAGCCCATATTATCACTCATGCTTTTATTAAGGTCCCACATAAAAATCATCACATACAAACTAGAGAGAAAGTGATTAAAGCATTGTTTGTTGTAAGGTTATCTGACTCTCATTGAGAACATATTCTGTGAATAACTGCCAAACTCAAAGAGTATTTCAAGTAGAGTTCCACAGTGGTTTGTCCTGTTCTTAAGTGTATTCAGGATTTTGTTAATAACATGGGTGCTGCATAGCAAGCATTCCTAAAGTCTATCAGGACATTATTGAACCAGAAGTAGTTTCCATGAGCTAAACACTATCCTAGGACCAATTTAGACACCTCATTTTTCAGAAAGTTACAGCCAAATTGAAGAGTGTGCTGAAAGGGAAAAGGCTTGTTTCCCAAACTACTATTTATGAACAAATGCTCCTGTAAATGGGATGACTCCTTCAGAAACAGCAGGATGTCCTAGTCAAGTCCATCTGGTGCTTAGACAGTAATCATCCTTACAAACAGAAATTTCCTTTTGCTCCCTCCAGCAGCAGAGCACAAAATTTAATCTAGATCTCCTTGCTCTTCCACTTAAGGACATGGTGAATCTGGTGCATCCCCAACAAGTCAGTTAAAAAAATGGGTTACTGAACTGTTTGCCAAGACTGACCCAATTTCCTCTAGTTATGTTTGATCCTGCCTCTCTGCTGAAGCCCTGCCAAGATCTCTTCAGGTCCCTTTCAGACTCTGTGATTTCTGTTG